TCAATGACAGACTTCATGATACAGCACGCGCACGCTAACCATTCGACCATCCAGTATATACTGTAATATATACAAGTTCAACTCACCTGGATCTCATTAAAGATTTATTTCAATAAGAAAATTAGTCGATTGGATTCCTAAGTTAATTAAGAATTTGAATGAATTTCAAGAAATGTCATGGTGTATATTGATAGGTGTAAAAATATCACAGTACTTGACGGCTATAGTGATTGATTGTTGATTTAACAATGTTTTTATTACCTTAAATTGCACCTTTGATTTTAGTCCCAATTTCAGAACTTTTATATAGTAAATATTGTCAGAGGGTTGAGCTCAAGTCCACTCAATGTCCAGATGACAATAGTTAAATGTCAACTAAGGGAATCTTCTTTTTGAGCAGTTGGCAATTCAAATAAACCAGTAAATTGACATAAAAATTTAGCCGTTATTAATGATAGTAAATAGTAAGAGTATCTCTTGATACAACAATGGCTGTTTGGTTGCCGAGATATAACTGTACTGTATAATCTGATTTATTTGGGACTTAATGTCTGCCACCACCCAGGGTGATATGATAGGTAATGTGTACCAACACATACATCAATATACAGCTATATACAAAAACAGATTTAACATGGAATAATACATTGGGATAACGTGATAATGAGATATATCATTGTACATGATGGAAGATTTACACATAAAATGATCAAATATCTATTTTCCTATGTATTAATGTTAACATCCCCATCTGGTTTCTATTTAAGAAAGGAATTGACAAATTTCCAGTATTCACATGGATTATTGCTATAAAGATCATCAATTTTTTCTAATATTACATTTTTAGCCTGTCAACATTTTGTATTTAGTTGTTTTTTTATATTCTTTCTTTCTCTTGTAATATATTGAGAATTGTTTGGATTATTATTTAATTGATCTAGTGCCATAAGCATATCCCTTTTCAACCTATTACAGTCACTGTCAAATCATTTATTTGTTTTGAGGCGTTGATAGCTATATTTGTTAATTTATTTGTTGCCTCCTGTGTTCTGGTGCACTTTGGATTGAAGTCTTTCATCAAGAAATTGTTGATAACCAGTTTAGCATATGGATTATGTAGTTTTAACTGAAGCTTTCGATCAGATAAATTTCAATGGTGATTTTCTTATTATTATTATTTAGTGTTATCATTCTTTGTATTAAGGGCCCTAATAGCTATTGTAGCATGTAGGAAGACTGAGAGATTGGTACAAATTTTACACACTAAACGCTTGTGATCAGAAAGGTAACTTAATGGGGCAACTCGAAAAGATGAGGTCAGGTGTGAGATAATTACCTTTGTCTCAAGTCAAGGGGCTATTAACATGTCTAATAATAGATACAGTCCCCACAGGTGTATTCTAATTATTCTACAGTACCTCCATCTTGATTGACCAAGACTTAACTCCAGGTAATCTTTACAGATTTATATCATTCAGTGATTCATTCAGTTGACTAAACAACCATGGATGAAAGAGATTCCAATCAACACATACTTGCTAAGGTTAGGTAGTCAATGCTACTTTTAGCAGTGGGAGAAAATTAGAGGATCCAAAGAACATTCACAAGGTTAGGCAGTCAATTCGACCACCCATGGATGATGTACAAAATTATATCAAAAGTTGTTGAAGGAGATTGATGAATAAGAGAAGATTAGTTTTTATAATTTATATCTACATACGTCATGTGTACCAATGTTTCGGCAACAGAGCTTTGGTTTCCTCTGATGTGTGAGTGCTAGAAAATTATAATATGTTGGTCCCAAAATTCCCTACTGTTCAGTGGATGTTAAAGCACATCTTTGTCTTTAAATAGATGTGTTATTGTTCCATCTCTGTCTTTAAATAAATGTGTTATTGTACCGTCTTCATCTTGCATTGCTTGTTTGCTAATGTTGTTGTTCCACCATGCAGTTGCCTCCCACTGCAAGAAACCCCTACGCATAAGCGAATTAATGAAATGAAATTGAACCATATGTTAGTCCTGAAATGAGCTAGTTTGTGTGGAGTGGATGTTAAACCCCATTTCTCTCTTTTTGCTAATGTTGTTCAAATTCACTGTTTCATTCAAGGGATGTAACTCCATTATGTTATCTACAAATATATTCTACTAACAGTAAATACGTACTGTTAAGTTTGAAATGACCGACTGCTATTCCTGATCACACCGTCAAATGGGATAACTATGTTGAGGTACCTACTAGAACAGCTAAATATAACTAGATTGAGGTACCTACTAGAACAGCTAAATATAACTAGATTGAGGTACCTACTAGAACAGCTAAATATAACTAGGTTGAGGTACCTATTAGAACCGCTAAATATAACTAGGTTGAGGTACCTATTAGAACCGCTAAATATAACTATGTTCAGGTACCTACTAGAACAGCTAAATATAATAAGATAAATCTGATACTTTTGATTTTAGCTACGATGAAAGCCTTTTAATTTTAGCGTCATGATTAATGTCTTAGTATGGAACACCAAATTATATTTGATTAAATGTCGTTGTAGCAGAATTTGTGTTTCAGTGCCAGATCATTTAAAAATAAGCAAAAACAGTGACTTAATCTATTGTACTATAAGTGAACTGCCTTTTTAAAAATGCCTCTTAATTTAATCCTCTGTGGCCCCACTGATCTTGTTACTTTATTGATATGTATCAAATTCTACAATTAATTTCCATTCTTACCAGTAGTTATATATGTTCTCATCACTTTATTTCATCAGTTGTTATTTTAAGGGCTGGTTACTGCCCTTAGGGGCTGCCTATAAAACATCCCTAATTATAACATGTCCTTGTAACACATCACCACAGCTGACCTGTGCATTAAGTGACCAAGCTGTCATTTCTTCTGCCGGGCAATTTGACCAACCATTATTGTTACAACTTCTTACTGAGTTAGAATTCATTTGAATATGTTTTAATTAGTAAATGGTTATTAATTAATAGGAAGGTAAAGTTGTGTTGAGGTCTATTGTCATGTGTGTGTGTTGATTGGGCAGAGACAATTGGCTTTATTTAATTAATGAATGCAAAGATTACTTAATGGATTAATTAGATTAAAAGTTGTGGACATATGTGGTTTAAAATGTGTATTTTATAACTGTGTTATGTAGTGGCTATCTATATTATAAGTTATAACTGTGTTATGTAGTGGCTATCTGTAGTGTAAGTTATACCTGTGTTATGTAGAGACATGCTGTGTTGTAAGTTCACCTGTAAAAAATGGTAAAACAGATCAAACTAGAATAATGTTAAATTAATGGAGAAGTTTTTTTACCAGCTGATTTTACCTCGAAGTATTTAAAAGAATGGAAGTGATTTTATTATATGAATTATGAATAGGTTAGTGAATAATAATTGTTTATTGCACAAAAAAACGATCAAATCTGTCAAAAAAGTTCCAAGAGTCTGGATTTAAAAACAACAATATTTGGAGAGTTGGTTATTTCCATGAGTGTCAGATCATTCCACAGACTCCATTCTGCTTTTAAAAAGAATGTGTTGTACCAATACAGCCATCTGCTTATCATGGTACAGAAAGGTAGAATTTTAAATCAATTTCATTTCTTGTTCTCTACCTGTTTAGATTTTACTCACATGCACACCTGTAGCTAATTACAAAAATATTGTTAGTTTTTTTACACCTGGACAATAATAGATTTGTCATTCTACCACAGATTCAACAGTTCTATGAATGAAACAATATGTACCACATGTTACTCTCAGATTGACTGAATATATGTTAGTCCCACTTGTTAAATTGATTTTAAACTGACACGCTCTAGATGTGCGTTTTAGATCATAAGGTCAGGTGGTATGGTTTTAATCACAAGCTCGTACTACGCAAACAAGAGTTGCCTGTCGAACCTTGTACGCAAACAGGAGTTGCCTGTCGAACCTTGTACGCAAACAGGAGTTGCCTGTCGAACCTTGTACACAACTAGGAGTTGCCTGTCGAACCTTGTACGCAACTAGGAGTCGCCTGTCGAACCTTGTACACGACTATGAGTTGCCAGTCAAACTTTTACACGACTAGGAGTTGCCTGTCGAACCTTGTACACGACTAGGAGTAGCCTGTCGAACCTTGTACGCGACTAGGAGTTGCCTGTTGAACCTTGTGGTTTTGCTCTAAGTCCTGCTATTTCCTCCCATTGCCAAGGACCTTACGTGCCAGCGAATTATTGAAATAGATTGTATCATATGTTAGTCCTGAAATAAACAAGTTTGTGTCAGGAGGACGTTAAACCCTCACCACCTGTACACTGTCTGTCTGTGATTAATATTAGCTAGTGTAATATATTAATGATATTGATAGAATAGTTTGATCTGTGAGTGTCGTCAAGGCAAGATAAATTGATGGTATGATAGGATATATATCATTTATCCTAGAAATAGATAAATATTTTATCTGTTTTATCAACCATGGTATACGAACTGTGGTATATAGAGAAAGGGATAACAGCCAAATGACTCATATAATAACTGATATCTATTGATATATTATACATACCCGACCTCTCGCAAGGATAGTTCGTACATCATTATATTGGACATTTAATAACTTTATTAGTGAAATCATTCACCTGTAAATATTAATTTAAGAAAGAGTCAGATAGGGTCGTGCCACCGAGGGTCGGCAGTTGGTTATAAATCAGGGAATTGTCTTCACCAGCAGAGATAAACAATCAAGACTAAATATTTAATGGTTAGATAAATGGAATTCGTTCATCCATAAATTTGGAAATGAAGGAAGTCGCATTGTAGGGACTTTTATATTTGATGGACTACCAGAGATGCATCAAACAAGTTATGATGTCCGAACTCTTTATAAATGTTATTTAAGTAACCTGAACCCAACAGAAAATGAAGCAAGATATGGAGAGATTATAGAATAAGACTAGTTTATGATAGCAAGTGTAATCTAAACGATCATAAGTCAAGGAGTGGTGTATCTGAAGGGGGGAAGACCCTATTCTTTATATCGACTTTTATTGTGTGTGGAGGTCAATGTACACTTTACGATTTGTTCAGTGTGTGTCTAATCTAAACGGTCGATGGTTTGTGTAACACATGTAACATTCATGTCATCAATTGTCATTTAATTGATTGGATTTTAACAGAATTTAGCTTACAAAATGTCGGTTATATGTTTTCGATGTTGTCGGTAAGTTTAAATTTTTATCTTTGTCTAGCAATGAAAATGATATGAAATGGGGTTTATCTTAGCCTAGATATGTGAATGTATGTTTAAGATAGAGAACATATTTGGTCAAGGTATGATTATTATACATGGGATGAAATTTGTCAATCAGGAATGTTGACCTGTGCTACATTCGGTCATCGTCCTTAACTTGGTCATTTAACATCTGCTTCTACACTGGTTAAATCACAGACAAGAACTAGAAGAACCTGAAACTTGCTCCTATACATTGGAAGTTTATGAATATGATTTTATAACAAAGTAAAACAGGTGTTAAAGTTTAGTTGTTGATTTAGATTTTTATCTCACTTTCGTCAGAGAACATTGTATAGCCATTAAATTGCTATGTCACTTATGGTATATTATACCATTAAATATATTTTTATTGTTTTGTCATCTATGTGTAAATGTGTACTTTACTGCTATTGCTTTCATACTCCTGTAGTTGCTAATAAAATATTATTATTATTATTATTATTATCCCACAATGATAACATGATTAACATGGTGATGAACAGTTCATGGGAAGCTCACAATTTTATTATTACAATATCTGAATGTTTGGATACAATGATTCTTAGCAGTGATGGTAAAGAAAACTTGTGTGGTATGGTTTGAGTGATATGGTATGGTGGTTTGAGTGGTGTGGTATAGTTTGGTATGGTTATTTTTGAGTGTGGTATGGTATGGTTTGAGTGTGGTATGGTTTAAGTGATATGGTATGGTATGGTTTGAGTGTGGTTTGGTATGATTTGAGTGTGGTATGGTTTGAATGTGGTTTGGTATGGTTTGAGTGTGGTATGGTTTGAGTGGTGTTGTGTGTTATGTTATGGTCTTGTATGGTTTGAGTTGTATGGGTCTTAATGTATTGAAATGAAATTCCTGCATCAACTGTGCTACTGATCGAAAGATATATTTGTGATTACCACAGATCACGACAACATTATGCAGTATTTATGTAGTGAGGAAGACACCTATTGAATTACATTGAATTCTGTTGATAAACAATTTGAGTCATAATGACTATTAGATGGATATTAATAGATTATGTAAATAAGGGTGTGAATATTTAATCTATCAGATTATTCAACCATTAAACTATATATTGTATACATATTTAAATAATGGTTGACCTAATATAGAAACAAAGCAAGTATTTGACATGCACTGGAGCAATTGTTTCATGATAATAACTTGATTATTACCTGACATGTCATAGACAGGTGGATTCTTTACAAGCTTGTTTTAAGGCCTATGGCAGTGTGTAAAAGGTGTTGGGGTGGGGTGGGAATGATATTTATATTTATACCGTTTACGATCCGTAGTGATTAAACCAGGAGGTTGATTGTTGACCTTGTCAGTCATGCAGGACAGAAGGCCGGGTAAGGTATAGCTAGAGTCTTGTTATTCGGTCTGCAAGCACGTAAAAGAACCCATTATAGTTGGAATTAATCAAGAGCAGAATGAAAGGTCTCTGTCTGCGCAACTTTTCCCTCAGTGCATGGCCTATGCTATAAAGTCCATCATCTATTTTGGATTAGGGGGGTTGGATGGCCGAATGGTTAGCACGTGCGCACTGTATCATAAGATCTGTCATTGAGTCAACTGGCGTGGTTTCGATTCCCCGGTTGTACGTGACAAGGAGTAGGGTCGGCTGTCCAACTTCGTGGGTTTCCTCCGGGTCCTTCGGTCCCCCCCACTGCTAAAAACTCCTATGTGCAATCAAATTATTGAAATAAAATTGAACCATGTGTTAGTCCTGAAATGACCTAGTTTGTGTTGAGTGGACGTTAAACTCTCTCTTTCTCTCTCTCTCTCTCTCTGTCTCTCTCTCTCTTTTGGCCCCCCTACCCCCTGCCATATATCCTATGTATGCCACAGTTTAAATAGACCCTACAAGTATTTATACATGAAGATATAATGTTAACTCTACTCCAACAGAGTGTTGAATACAGAGTATGTAATATAATATATATAATGTAATTAAAGATAACATTATAATATATTTATCATGGAATACCAACCATACCATGAATTTACTTAGGTTTGTTTTTTTATAAGCAATGTTTTTATTCAGGATATGGGATTCAAGAACATGTTTAACCTACATGTATTTAATACTGAGGGAAAGGGTGGTATATATGGTAGTCAAGGGGTAAAAAATTTGTTAGATGTGTCAACTTGACAAGCGAAATGTGGTGTCTTAAAATGGATATATATTGTCTTGGAACTATAAATGGATAAAGAAGAGGGTATCCTCGTCGAAACGTTACTTAGTATTAAACTCAGTATGTAATTGTGTATCCATAAAATTGTACCTTGTGTTAATATGTTCAATTACTAAATGCAAATCAAAGAAGATTGATTTTCTTATTTTAGTTATTTTTTTTATGAAGTTTGATTTCAAGTCTCTGAAAATGTCTGGTCTGGGTAATAAATATGCCTGTGATCTTGTTTCAATAAACAGTTGTGAATGTTTACATAGGACTAGAGACAATGACTTGAAAACATAACAGCATATATTTATACCCTAATCTATCAAATTTATACAAAATCTAATTTATGGTAGACTAATCTGATTTGGGATAAACTTGTGAAAAATTTAAACAAGGTTTAATGTATGATAGGCTAATCTTATTATTGATTAAAGTTGTCAGAAAGTCCAGGGCTTGAATACGCAGTGAGTGTTATTATATCATTACATCCACCAAGAACAGCATACAAAGTTTACAATTTAAAAAAAGGTTGACCATACAATTAACAATTGTAAAAAGATACAATCTGGGGTGATAATTTATGGATGTACAATGTCATACAATAAATTAAATAGTACTAACGCTGCGACTTTTGCATTATTTTTCAACTGGTATACGTGGAATGACTAGAAACTAATTTTAGGTTTTGTGACATGTTTACTCTTTCTAGAACATCTGATGTCACTTGTTGTTTACCAGCAGAGTTCACAGTACTAGAACATCTGATGTCGCTTGTTGTTTACTTGTGAAGTTCACATTACTATAACATCTGATGCCACTTGTTGTTTACCTGCGAAGTTCACAGTACTAGAACATCTGATGCCACTTTTTGTTTACTTGCGAAGTTCACATTACTAGAACATCTGATGCCACTTGTTGTTTACCTGTTAAGTTGACATTACTAGAACATCTGATGTAACTTGTTGTTTACCTGCGAAGTTCACAGTACTATAACATCTGATGTCACTTGTTGTTTACCTGTTAAGTTCACATTACTAGAACATCTGATGTCACTTGTTGTTTACCTGTTAAGTTCACATTACTAGAACATCTGATGTCACTTGTTGTTTACCTGTGAAGTTCACAGTACTATAACATCTGATGTCACTTGTTGTTTACCAGCAGAGTTTACATTACTATAACATCTGATGTCACTTTTTGTTTACCTGTTAAGTTCACATTACTAGAACATCTGATGTCACTTGTTGTTTACCTGCGAAGTTCACAGTACTAGAACATCTGATGCCACTTTTTGTTTACTTGCGAAGTTCACATTACTAGAACATCTGATGCCACTTGTTGTTTACCTGTTAAGTTCACATTACTAGAACATCTGATGTAACTTGTTGTTTACCTGCGAAGTTCACATTACTAGAACATCTGATGCCACTTTTTGTTTTGTTGTACCATTATTGTGTAACCCCAGCTCATCACACAAGTCAACCATATATGATAAAATTTTAACAGAAGACACCTTTTATTTTGATAAAATGAAATAAGTTCTCATCTGATGTAAATAGAGTGTGTCTGTATCTAAGGGCTTGGGTTTCATATAAAGTGATTTCTGTATTGATCTAGAAAAGATAAAATCAACCACTTGGTGAATACACACATTGTTGTTGGTGGAATTTTTTACCGTTTGAACTTAATTCAATTTATGGTAAATACCATCAATTGAAAATGGTTGACGGACGATTTTGTATTGATAAAATAATTAAAGGGAGATAACATCACGCTGTCTACATGTGAATAGCGAAAATATTGTACAGTTGGTTAAATGTGAGAAAGTTTGGGAATAATTTAAAGTTTGAATTAAATTGTATTCTTCCTTTGATCTTGGTTTATTATTTAAATTTTGATTTAATCAAATTATTGTTTTTTGATTAGACCAAATTATTGTTTTTTGATTAGACATAATTTAAACTGAGCCTTAATTTTTGTTTTTTTCAGGAAGGGCATGAGTAGCTCTACTAAAAGAGGGGCTGCCCCTGGAGCTCCAGGAGTGGGGCTCAAGATTCCGCCCCCAGGGATGTCAAATAACGGCAGTGGTCCCCCACCTCCATTATCCTATCAAAGTGAACCTGTCGACGATGAAAACATGAACGAACTAATAGTCGAGATGTTGGAGTTGGAAATTATTTTACCAAACGGTCAGACAACACAAATGGTTGTACATCACAGGTTGGTAAAAACATTTTTATTATACACGATCTATGTCTCGCGGTTATACCATCACATGGCATAGATGTTAACCATGTCTCGCGGTTATACCATCACATGACGTAGATGTTAACCATGTCTCGCGGTTATACCATCACATGGCGTAGATATATTGTAGAGGCTTTGGCTAGATTGCTGTCATTTTAGTTAAGCCCTTTTAATTGATTGGTTAATGATTTCTCAAGTTATCAAAACATAATCGATGTTTAACATCCACTTCCACCGAGTGTGATATCGCAGACAAGTTGTCTTATTTTCATTTTTATTATCTTAGTGCACCATGGATACTGTTTATATTCCTTTGACACATCTCATGAAAGAATGAATTAAATATTGCTTTACAAACATTGGCTCCTATTGAGGTTACTTTGACACATCTCATGAAAGAACAGATTAAATATTGCATTACAAGCATCGGCTCCTATTGAGGTTGCATGTCGTTTATTTTGATGTTGAATAGGTTGAGGATGAATTGATTTATTTAATCAATAAAGATGATGGATAATTAATGTTGTTTTATTAATTAGGTTAATGATGTTAATCTATGTTGATTAGGTAATGATACCCAACTTCTGACCATCATTTATACATACCCTATCATGTTGAACTAAGGCTATATATTCTGGTTTTCAGGCAATCCTAACCCAAACTCCTCGCTAAATCACCTCTTATAAACTTATAAACATTCATCTCATCATATTGTTTATAGGAATGTATCGGGTTGGCATGGAGTTACTCTCTCTCTCTCATCATGTTTATAGGAATGTATCGAGTTGGTTTAGAGTTACTTTCTGTGACTGGGGAAGGGGGTTGGATGGCCGAATGGCTAGCACTCACGCGTTATATCATCATGTTTATAGGAATGTATCGAGTTGGTTTAGAGTTACTTTCTGTGACTGGGGAAGGAGGTTGGATGGCCGAATGGTTAGCACTCGTGCACTGTATCATAAGGTCTGGCATTGAGTCGACTGACGGGGTTTCGATTCCTCGGTCGTACGTGACAAGGAGTAGGGTCACATGTCCAACCTCATAGGTTTTCTCCAGGTCCTTCCGTTTCCTCCCACTGCTAAAGACCCCTATGTGCAGGCAAATTATTGAAATAAAATTGAACCATGTGTTCATCCCGAAATGACCTAGTTTGTGTCGCGTGGATGTTAAACCCCATCTCTCTGTCTATCATTCTGTGACTAGGGTAAAATCTTTACATGAGGTAATTAAAGAGATGTCACGTGGCCCGTTTTAAATGATACAGGATGATCTGATAACCAGAATATTTTTATATAGCCTAAGACAAGTCCTATGATAAAACTTTATTGTCAAAAACATTCCTTGCATTCTATAAGATCAGGATTAGAAACGTGCACTATTTTGACACGGTTATGATTAATGGCTGTCATCATCATCCTACCATAAACAATCGGCTGGAAAGAAATCTTGTGTCTTCATATTTTTTATTTTTACTGCATATTTAAAAGTTATCCATCATCTTTAAGAGATGACAGTTAGCTCCCTTTACTGTGTTTGAAACATATTTACAACAACCCAGATACACAACGTGTATAGATTTTAATATCTGATATATATTGTTTATTTATCTCACCTTATCTCACCTTATCACCAGTCGCAAATAATTTACCTATCTATTTATATCTCTCATACATTTTGACTTCTGTACTAGGAGTGTCTTAGGCAATGTTTTAATGACTACGCATTTGAAATAAAGTTCCTTATTCTGATATGGATTAAACTGGAGCACTATGAAAGTCAGATGAGGTCATGGATGACTTCGGTTTCTTATGCAAAAGTTGGCCAACAACACAAATGTGTTATAGCTATTCAAATTCCTCAGATGAGAAATTATATGACAATCTAGTTAAAATCTAAAGTATCCAATGCCATCAAGAGTTTATTATGGTCTGGATAATTTATTTTCCGAAAATTATAAATAACATACAGTGACTTTAAAAGGGAAAATTTTGGCAAGCCACTTGAAATATGTCAAGAAGATTGTTAATGTTTATAGTGTTTGTGATTTTTACAGAGTGTCATATAATTTCATATGATGGAGAGATTTTAGTCCAGTCGTATAGTGTAATATAGTTTTATATTATATTAATGTCTGACAGTATGTCATCACTGGCGAAAAACCTCTTTTATTTTTGTGAGTAGAATTAGGTCTGGAGGCTGAGTATTAGTTACAGGGTTTTATACATTTACCGTGTTAGAAAGAGATATTAAGAATTAGGACTGGAGGCTTAGTATTAGTTATAGGTTTTATACATGTACCGTGTTAGAGAGGGATATTAAGAATTAGGTCTGGAGTCTGAGTATTAGTTACAGGGTTTTATACATTTACCGTGCTAGAAAGAGATATTAAGAATTAGGTCTGGAGACTGAGTATTAGTTATAGGTTTTATACATGTACCGTGCTAGAAAGAGATATTAAGAATTAGGTCTGGAGGCTGAGTATTAGTTATAGGTTTTATACATTTACCGTGTTAGAGAGGGATATTAAGAATTAGGTCTGGAGACTGAGTATTAGTTACAGGTTTTATACATGTACCGTGTTAGAGAGGGATATTAAGAATTAGATCTGGAGACTGAGTATTAGTTATAGGTTTTATACATTTACCGTGCTAGAAAGAGATATTAAGAATTAGGTCTGGAGGCTGAGTATTAGTTATAGGTTTTATACATTTACCGTGTTAGAGAGGGATATTAAGAATTAGGTCTGGAGACTGAGTATTAGTTATAGGTTTTATACATTTACCGTACTAGAGAGGGATATTAAGAATTAGATCTGGAGACTGAGTATTAGTTATAGGTTTTATACATTTACCGTGCTAGAAAGAGATATTAAGAATTAGGTCTGGAGACTGAGTATTAGTTATAGGTTTTATACATTTACCGTGTTAGAGAGGGATATTAAGAATTAGGTCTGGAGACTGAGTATTAGTTATAGGTTTTATACATTTACCGTGTTAGAGAGGGATATTAAGAATTAGGACTGGAGGCTGATATTAGTTATAGGTTTTATACATTTACCGTGTTAGAGAGGGATATTAAGAATTAGGTCTGGAGACTGAGTATTAGTTATAGGTTTTATACATGTACCGTGTTAGAAAGAGATATTAAGAATTAGGTCTGGAGACTGAGTATTAGTTATAGGTTTTATACATTTACCGTGTTAGAAAGAGATATTAAGAATTAGGACTGGAGGTTTCGTTTCTATGGTGATATGACAGACAAGAGATCTGGAAAATGAGTAACAGGTTGTGTGTATTTACTAGTGTGAGAGGAATGTGCTGCACCTTTCATCGCCACTCATCTACAAATATGCTATTGTTCACAAAATATGTTCGTTTTTTGAAAGCTCTCTGCCCAAGCGAGGCGTAAGGTGTTTCGGCCTATTTTTTCAATGGGTGTAGTTATCCATGATGGCCATTGATTAAGTTGTATGACAATCTGTAGTACAATGAAGTGGAGTGTAGAATGTTGACGATGGTTAAGATGACGTTGTGTTGGTTAATAACATCAGTTGTTGATCGAGGCAAACAACATCAAATAAATCTGAATCAAGTTTTCTATATATTTAAACCCATGATGACTCACACGTGATGTATATATTTGAATAAAAGTTTTAATTGACTTAGATTATAATGGTATCTAATGGTATAGTCTGTTTTTAATTGTATACATGTATAAGCTTTCATTAGAGTTTGTTTTGATTTTACTACATGATCAGTAAAAAGAGAAATGAAATGGGGTTCAATGTCCTCAATTTCTGCATGAACCGGGCTAATAAAGATCAGCATATACTATAGGGAGTTGTGTTATGAGAGTATTTAAAGATACTTTCCTGTGTACAAACTGGGTGATTTGATGATATATCTGGACTAAAAACATATTCAAACGAATGAATCTATCAAAAATTTGCTTCAAATCTCTCTCAAAACTTTGTATTCGTGGGGAGATACCTCAAGCTATAAATTAACTGTTGTTAGAAGCCATGTCTGTCACCTTATTGATTTTGTAGGAGGTTCCATTTTTCAGGATGTATTTTTTATTACCATACATATTGAAGCCTAAGTAAAGTCTTAATTATTTTCTGTCAACTTTTTTGCCACGGTTTAAATGCAGTCTTTTATACGTTGACACCCCTCAATGTTCCCAAAACTGCCTAACCATTTGATCAAGAAATAACAACCGTTCCCTTAACCAAGCTAGCACACAATATGCTGGCAGACAACAGTCAGGTTGCCAGTGATGCCCTGACATTTTTGCCCAATGCTTGCCCCATGGGTGTTTTTTGGATAATCCAGTATTTTTCTAGTAAGATTGAGTGTCTATACTTTCCATATATATACCAAATTTGCCATACTTTTATTGGAAATCACCACCCGATAAATACTTTCGGTACAATGTATCTTTAAGGAACAGCATTTAGTCACTCAGATGGGATGAAATTCAGAGGTCCAGTGTACCCATTGGCGTGCACATAAAAGAACCCTTGACAGTTAGAAACAGATATAAAAGTGTGTTTAGTGTCGCTGTCCAAGGTAACTGGTCTCATAGAACACTGCATGCGTGGTGGTTGTCATTATTCTGGCTGGTATGGAAAAGTATAGGACATTAAACCCATTGTATTTCATGTTCGATCTTTCTTTAGTGTGTGTTTATTTTTAACCATCAGAAATAAAATGAATTGGGGTTTAACATCCTACTATTCTGCTCCGACTGGGCTAATGAAGATAGCATAAGCCATACAGTGTGCTATGAAGGACATTTTGCCAGGACAGCGGCACTACGGCCTACTCTTATTTAGACATCTAACTGTCAGGGGCTGTGTTATGTGCATGGCAATGTGTTTTGTCCCATCCGAATGGTTATATATTGTTTTGTGCCAGGCCCCGTGTAGCACGTCAAGTATTAGGTTGCTGATATCATTAAGTGTGATCTGTATGTTAATGAAGTCTGTCCCAGGGGTATGGAATGTTAACGTGCTAGTAGTAGTGTTATAATCTCTGCTTTAAGTGGTTAAATTGCTTTTGTCCTAAACTATCAACAATATCGGAACAAACCGAGCTGATCCCAACCAATTGTAAACAAATGAAGCATGTCCCACCAGCAACAACAAAACATCATTTACACCTTTTATATTACGACCTCTGACCCACAGGTGTGCTCTGGTTGTTTTCTACACCTTGTAATAACAGTTTAACAGACAACTTGTTATAATTTGTGAACATTGAATGATGGGTTGCATGCTTGATCAGGTTTCAGGAATTTGATTGAATGGTTGTTACTAATTCTCTCTGATGTGTTTGTAAAGGGACAGAAATTCCTTCTTGAGTAATCCATACAATAATCTGATTAATGGAGGCAACATTTCATCTGAGACATATCCCTTATTACATAAACCTTGGCAATAAAACAGATAAATACAGTAAGAAGTGTGAGAGAATTATTCTCTTCTATCGCTTTCTACCCATTAAATTCTGATTTAAAAAGTGCTTGACCTCTAGATTAGATTTTCCTGGGTTCACTAGTCAAGGTTGTTGTCTGCAAGTCTGACCAGGAAAGCGTACCTGTGTGTGCATGTTAAAGAACCCTTTGATGGATAAACATAAAACGTTGGCTTTCTTAACATTATGTTACGTATCCATAGAAATAAAAATTATTTTAAGTTCAAATTGATTTCTAAACAATATATTATTATCCCAATTTAGTGAAGTGGTGATTGAAAGCCAGAGCATTTGCCCCACCTTCTTTAACATCCTACCCTCCTATACTTATTGATTTACCTTGAAATAAATCAAATGACATGCCAAAAGATTTTGACTTTTCTTTTTTGATTTGAATAAGTTTTTTTTTAAAGAAAAACAAGTATGCAGTTTAGATATGTAAATAAGATATATGGTATATATAAACTTGTCATTATTACAGCTGGGTGTTATAAATAAATAAACAAACTTAACGGGTATAAACAAATATTAGGACTTCAGAACAAATATTAGCTAAAGACCTTCAGAACAAGTTTTATTCCTTATATAAGTGACAGTAAGTCTGTCAAACTTGGATAAATCACTTGGATGATACTCTTTCCACTAACCTCTGTTACTTCAGGGTTTTTTTTGTCCTATCCGAAATGATAGATGCTGTTCCTCCCTAGGCTCTCCATCTTGCGTCATTGACAAGGTAAAACAGGCTCGCTAGACTCTCCATCCTGCGTTATTGACAAGGTACAGCAGGCTTGGAACTCGTTCATCACCATGATCAAAAACTGGTTCTTTGGTTAATGTACATGTACCAGCACCCTACTCACTGTGTCACCTGTGACCAGGAGTCCCAATGACTGTATATCCCCATCCTCACCATGCACCATCCCCCACCCCCTCCCATTTATTGCGAAAATCAAGAGTACTAGAATCATATTTATGATTAGATTTATTATTTGTGTTTATCAGAAAGATTAAGGAGATAACAAAACTAGAAATATAACATATATTGGCCTTCTTCAACCCAGCTAGAGTATTATCTATACACCTGTAGCTTACACCTGTAGCTTATTATAGATTTACCTGTTGACAAAACAACCTTCCTTTCAAAACAAACCATTATTTGTCATGGCCTTGTAATAACAATACAGCTATAGTTTTACCTGAAGCCTGACAGTGACTAGAGTTTTACCTGACAAACAGGTGAGCTGATGTTCAACCTACCTGATTCTAGTCATGTGACACCCATAGGTAACTTACTTAGAACTGTATCTCACTCTACCTGGTGACATTATAAAGGTTGCTTCCATTAATATTGTAACTCAAGTGTCCATTTTATCACTACAAGCTCTGAGAATAGACAATCAACATCGAAACTACATCGATCAATTGTCATCTTAGAAACGACTGTTTATAAACATTTGTTCATTGTGTATCTGTTCTAGAAGAAAACCCGAGTACAGGTAGATTCATATCAGAATTTGGGTCTATTTTCAAATAGTTTTATGTTCCTGTGATTTATAGAGCAAGACAGAGGAGAGGATACAAATTGTCTGATTGATGAAATTTTAGAATACCTGAGGAACACACCTGTACATTGATACTGTTTTACCTGAGGGGCACCTGTTGATAGTTTAGTGTATTAAATAGTGCTATTTACTCGCTGTAGGTCATTAATGTTAATAATTAACAGCAGATATCAGAAACTGTGTAATTTAATCAATGATTTCATTAACTGTACAGTTTAGTGGAACATTTGTGAATTTGATTGTATTTGGTGTATGAGAGGTGGTTGTCATTATACGTAGTATTAGTGCTAGATATTTGGTTGTGTTATGTTATAACTGTGTTTAGTCAGTCAGAGTAAAAATATCTACATTTACCTACCTATATATAGCAGATACTCCTAGATTATCATTTGTCAAGTATTCAAGGATTGTGTTTGACAGCATATATTATAAAGTATACTCCCACTTATTGTCTATTCTGTGTTAAAATTTGATACTCGATATAGAAGTGTTACATCATTGGTAACTATCTGCTCTTGTATTTCACCAAATTAAAGGATATATTTTCGGCCATCGTAAAAATGTTTCGTAAGAAGAAAACAAATAACAAGGGTGATAAGGTGAGACAAGGGATTATCAGGGATTTGGTTGTAAAATCTGGTGATTTTATTCCAGGGTTTATGATAATATTGGTTGTTCTTTAAAGGGAGGATTAAGCTCTCCTAATTCCTTTATACCACACAGATTATCTTCCTAAAAAATATCCATGAAAAAAATGGATTCTTTGATTGAAATGTGAAAATTCATGTTTTTTTTACAAAAAATATTTTGTTCTAAATTAATTTAAGAAAATGTTATATTATTATCTCTCTTAAAACTCCAGATTTTATGACCAAATTCTCACATGTTATTAACCATAACCATGACCTTTCTTTCAGATTGAATTAAACAAATTTAGTAGAAAAAACATGAAATATTGTCTTTCAGTATACCCATGATGGATTTATTAATTCAGTTGGCCGCTAAAAATAAAGTAAACCCGTCAGGATATACGTTAGTTGTCATATCGGAAGAGACTGGACGACCGATAGACTATAAGGCAAATCAAACTGTCGGTTCAATCGGCAGTCAGACGATTCGTCTCGTCCCTAAAAAGGGAGAAGCTGACAAAATTTCAGGGAAATCTATGAAAGGGAAATCCTCGCAACCGTTTGAGGTAACGTATGGTTGTTCTGTATTATTCCGGTAATATTAACTATCTTCATTTTGTAGGGGATGGGGGCCACAGTGGATCGGGGGGAGTAAGGTGGGCGGTAGATCACTAATCAGTAATCACTAAGTCTTTAAGTTTAATCCTGGTCTAATAAAGATGGGCATACCCTTTCATGGTGCTATAACAGCAGTTTGTCAGAAATATCATCTCTGTGGCCTCCCCTGAATTCAATTTCCAACTTAAACGTGCTTTCAATGTTATGCACAGGACTTTTTTTCCTATCCAAATGATGAGATACTTTTTCGTGCCAGGTTTTCTATCCTGCACTACGTACAAAAGGAAATCCGGTTGGAATTTTAATCGACCAGCCTTTGATTAGTAAGGCAGGCCTGTATAAACCACCATGTTGCAGTCATGACTCTTGTACTTAATGGAGATAGTTTTATGATTTTTATTGTGTAATGTTATATTAATGTATGTGTATTTAATTCTATATTTAGACAATAGTTTGTCACATGATCTATCAAACTGTAATATATAGAATTCATGTTTATTATCATGTTATACATTCTATTATATAATGGTGGGGGCGTGAATTATTTAACGTGTGCCCTTTACATCATATTTATCATTGAGTCAAGTGGCGTGGTTTCAATTCCTCACTTGTACGTGACAAGTAGTAGGGTCGCCTGTGCAACCTTGTGGGTTTTTCTCTGGGTCTTCAGGTTTCTTTCCACAGCTTAAGACCCCTATGGCCAAGTGAATTGTTGACCTAGAATTTAACCACGTGAGTCCCTAAATGACCTAGTTTGTATCGAGTGGACCTTAAACACCATTTGTCTCTCCATCATATAATAGCTTCTGGTACACAACTGTGTTTTCAGGCGTCTATTTTAGCTCAGATGGCACAGAACAGTAGGATGTTAAACCTCATTTCAGCTGTGTTTCCAGGTCACATATATACTTAATTGATAGTAATGTATAATTAATTATACAAAACAAAACAAACTCAACCCTAAAATCTAATGAAAAGCAAATATTAGCTTATCGTGTTCAAACTATGTAATAGTACAAGCAAATAAACATGATAGGAATAATTACAGCCTCTGTACATCATTACAATAATACCCACTTATAATACACAGTATAATATACACTTATGATACACTTATAATACATAATACACAGTATAATGCACTGTATAATGCACACTTACAATACACACTTACAATACACACTTATAATACACAGTATAATACACACTTATAACACACAGTATAATGCACACTTATAATACACAGTATAATACACAGTATAATACACACTTATAATACACCCTTATAATACACACTTATGATACACAGTATAATACACACTTATAATACACAGTATCATGCACACTTATAATACACAGTATAATACACAGTATAATACAGAATAATACAGAATAATACAAATATACACAGTATAATGCACACTTATAATACACTGTGTATAATACACACTTATAATACACTGTGTATAATACACAGTATAATACAATAATTAACTTACAGTGCAGTACACAATTACTGTAGTGTAACAAATCTTGGTTCAATGTTAAATTTTTACTGGGGGGGTTGGATGGCTGAATGGTTAGCGTGCGCGCGCTGTATCATAAAGTCTGTCATTGAGTCGACTGGCGTGGTTTCGAATCCCGGTTGTACGTGACAAGGAGTAGGGTCACCTGTCCAACCTCGTGGGTTTTCTCCGGGTCCTCCGGTTTCCTCCCACAGCTAAAGATCCCTACGCGCAAGCGAATTATGGAAATAAAATTGAACCATATGTTAGTGGAAGTTAAACCCCATTTCTCTCTCTCTCTCTTTAATTTGTACTGTGATTATCTATAGTTTGATCTGATACAGGTACACAGATCTAGTATTGATAAATATACACTGATAAATACCTGTATAAAAACATGTGCTTGTTAACAATATGATTTATAAGGACACCGGTCCTAACTCTTCTGAATTTCAAATCAACTGTGGTCCATTATCCTATTATCTAATAATAAAAATCTGTAATATTCAAATACATTTTGAAACAAATTTACGCAATTCAGCAATGGCTAGACTTGAAGTTAGATGAGGGGACGATGTCAAGTAGAATTTTGCCAGAGCACCAAGTATATTTGTTTTGCGTGTTATTTTGGTGGACACGCCTTCTGGTTATGTGTAATATTTATTTTAAAGTTAAAGTGTGTTGACGTGTGTAGGTGTATTCAATCTTTGTTAACAACATATGTAATATTTTAATTTTATACTCATTTATTCTAGCTATATTTTATATATTCAAGTCGTACGTGATTGGTCTTATAGTCACACTGGCCTTATGAATCATGTTGTAAACAAACACTTGGACAGTTTGATATTTTAAACGACTGTCATGGATGTAGGTGTAATAGTTGCTACACGTATTTCACAGAATTATATCCCGTGTATTTCTAGTAAAAATTGATTTTATTTTCAAGTCAATTTGTCTGTGGCTACTGTATGTTTAAATACTAAGATATATTTTATGACAACCTAGCCTTAAGGGGTAGTATCACTCGAGTCCTGTCAACCTATCAGACTATAGGTATATTATATATACATACTTACATAATCTAGATGTTTGATTTATATAGACATAATACACAGTGGGAGTTGGGTTCTATAATACACAGTGGGAGGTTGGGTGCTATAATACACAGTGGGGGTTGGGTGCTATAATACACAGTGGGAGATTGGGTGCTATAATACACAGTGGGGGTTGGGTGCTATAATACACAGTGGGGGTTGGGTGCTATAATACACAGTGGGTGTTGGGTGCTATAATACACAGTGGGGGTTGGGTGCTATAATACACAGTGGGTGTTGGGTGCTATAATACACAGTGGGGGTTGGGTGCTATAATACACAGTTGGGTGCTTTAATACACAGTTGGGGTTGGGTGCTATAATACACAGTGGGAGGTTGCGTGCTATAATACACAGTGGGGGGTTGGGTGCTATAATACACAGTGGGGGTTGGGTCTATAATTCACAGTGGGGGTTGGGTTCTATAATACACAGTGGGAGTTGGGTGCTATAATACACAGTGGGAGTTGGGTGCTATAATACACAGTGGGGGTTGGGGGTTCTATAATACACAGTGGGAGGTTGGGTTCTATAATACACAGTGGGAGTTGGGTGCTATAATACACAGTGGGAGGTTGGGTTCTATAATACTCAGTGGGGGTTGGGTGCTTTAATTGTTGAATTATGTCACTAGTATAAGGACACCAACCATTCCTAATCGTTCCTACGCATAAGTGAATTATTTAAAAAAAAATAAAATAGGTACCATATTAAGTGGGTGTTGGGTGCTATAATACACAGTGGGGGTTGGGTGTTATAATACACAGTGGGAGGTTGGGTGCTATAATACACAGTGGGAGGTTGGGTGCTATAATACACAGTGAGGGTTGGGTGCTATAATACACAGTGGGAGGTTGGGTTCTATAATACACAGTGGGAGTTGGGTGCTATAATACACAGTGGGAGGTTGGGTTCTATAATACACAGTGGGGGTTGGGTGCTTTAATTGTTGAATTATGTCACTAGTATAAGGACACCAACCATTCCTAATCATTCCTACGCATAAGTGAATTATTTAAAAAAAAAATAAAATAGGTACCATATTATGTTAATCTTAAAATGACGTCAGTATTGTGGGCATTAAACACCATTACTCTCTCAAAACACAAGGTCAGGTAGAAAGTTCTAACTTATACAGTAAACCTCGCATAAGTCGGATTTTTGCTCAACTCGGAAAAAATCGTTTGGACCCTTTGATCCTGCATGTTTTTCTTATTAAATTTCTACGCGTAACTCGGATTTCCTAAGTCAGATCTTCGCTCAACTGGGATCAAAATATTTGGTCCATTTGATCTAATTCCAGCTTTTTTCCTTCGTCTAAGTCGGATCGGCAGTATGTTCAGAATTTCACTGTCAGTTTCGTACCGATGGTCTAAAACACGGTTTCCTCTATCATTTTGATATGGCGCAATAATAGAACTGGAAAATTCGAAACTCGCTGTCTGCTGTACGAGACACTTTCCGGGAAAATGTAGGACATTTTTCAAATATGGTGACAAAATGGAAGTTATCTACTTGCACATACGAACAAAAGCTAAGATTGAATTTCGGTCTTCGGCTAACACGGATAAATTGGTCAGTCCACTTAGATCGGACTTATACGAAGTTTATTATACTTGTTTATAAGGTGAATACCATGACTGAATTTCATCATGAACATATTATAATATGATAACAGATTTTTAACATGACTAACTATATTATATATAGTGCCAGATTTAGGTCAAAGGAGGTCCTGTGCTAGTTAAGTTATGAGGCCCTAAAAGAGGTAGGCCCGTACATGCTCAATAAAATCATTTTGTAAATCTGGCACTGGTTATATATAACAGACAGATATTGTAAATCCACAACTTAAATGATTTCATAAAAACTTGAACAAATTATATATGTTTGAAATTATGACAAAAACACATTTGTTATTTCACTTGCGGAGAGAGTCCTCTTTCAAATATCTTATATAAATCAATAATATTAGTCTTCTAGTTTATTTTTCTATCCGGGACCCACGGTGGCTGAGTCAGTGAACAAGAAAGGTTCCCACTTGTTAGTGGTGCAGGATGTTCATGTACACATTGGCGTGCACATAAAAGATCCCTTGGCAGTTGGAATTCGATACAAGAGTAGGCCATAGCGCTACTGTCATAGCGCCACTGTCCAGGCAAAATTTCCCTAATAGCACACTGTATAGCTGTTAGCCAGTCAGAGCAGAACAGTAGGACGTTAAGCTCCATTTCATTTCATTTATTGCTCTATCCAGTTACTAAATGCCTCTAAACGATTAAAAATAAATGTTAAATATGAAATTGACCAAATGTGCCATGTGGTGTTTTTATGTCATATTTTATTCCTAATAACCTAATAAATTTGAACATTTAGTCTCAGACCAATGGTAATGAATTAAAATTTTATAATGTGGTTTACTTATGGTCTACAGTGTCATATTTCATTTTATCATCAAAACACTGTGGTATGAATGACATTTTATTAATTTCATTAAAAACTACTGGGGCATGGCATAATAAATGTAAACCATTTCTATTCATTACAAGATTATTATAGCTTGGCAGCTTGCCAACATGAACATAATACACCTATACTTATATCATAGGCTTTTATCTACATTATTAAAATAGGGGACATACTTATATAGGGTATATATAGGAACCTATAGTAGACTTCCAATGTAAATATAACTAACTATACTGTATATGTTGAATAATATCAATTGACAAGTACACTCATTCATCTCACATGTGATACAATTCGCGTGGCTTTTAAAGCAACAATAATTTTTATTGTATGTGGTCTTAAACTGAGGCATGTTGGGTTATAACAGCATGTTTGCTCAACTGTTTAAATTAACCCCTTTTTATTAGCTTTTGTTTGTTAAAAGTTCTTAAGAACAAGTACGATTGAACCAATCATAATGTCATTGCAGCCGTCTATGAATTGTGATGTCATATAAAAAATCGGTCAATCCGTGCACAACTGTATTGAAATAGGCAGAGCCATATAGGCTTGGTTTGAAGAGAAACGAACTGAAAATAACCAATGAAATGAAATCAACTTGTCTACTCCCTTTGTGCTAATGGTTATACTGGTTCAAGAACTCTACCACATTTAGTACTATATGTCCCCCATCATAGCAAATTGTAACATGCTTAAGGGTGAATCTTGCGTTTTAATTGGTCAATTAGACACTGTCGATTGGACAATAACACCCTGCGTATAAATATTACAGTGTTCTTTTTTCATCCCATGTTGTCATCTTTTATGATATATGGACAAAATTGTTAAAATCGACTAAAAATATATTTTTAATTATATAATATGAAAGGTAAAACTTTAGATTTGACAAATAAAGCAAACTAAATTGTTTTATATGTTTAGCATATTTCAAGATTCGTGACTTGAGACGTATTTCACTGTCACATGTAGCTTTGAGAAACAAAAAAAACATGAATAGATTCCGAATACCACTGAGTTCATTAACCCTTACCTACTCAAACACTGTTTTAATAAGATTCACGATTCACGATCTCAGTGTCTTTTTAATGATGTTGCGCTAATGATCTAGTGACAACCCTCCATGAGGTATTTACAACCAATCAAAAACATTATTTAAGATGTAACGAGATGTGTCACAAGGTTGACAACTTCTATATTTCATCTAATATAAACACACTAACAGTAATTATAGTTTAACAAATGTTTTGACACGATATCAGCATCGCAGGGTGTTGAGAGTAACAATATTAGTTTTACGAGTTTCGACAATCAGCAATTTGTGTAACCTTGGTTTTAATTATACTTAAAGGACCGGTCGTAGATAATTCTAAGTGAATCAAATGGGTTAATTCAGTGTAAAGATCCCCTAGTCCTGTACAAATATTGGAAAACCCGTGGTACATTTCCTTGTTTAAGAATAACACTCTAGAAATTATTTAATCAAATCAACACTTCGATTAAATGTACAATAACGTAAAGATGCCATGTTTGTAGGTAAATTGTTATGTTATATTATCAGTGTTAAAATGTGTAAAATATATATGGACATGTTTATTAATTAACTATGGTTGATGCTGGTATAATATACCATCAGATAAACCATAGACAATGGAACAGTACACCATAAGACACTCACTGATAAATCACCAAATTTGGAACGCCATCTAATAAACTAAAGAACACCATCTAATAAACTAATGAACACCATCTAATAAACTACAGAACACCACCTAATAAACCATAGAATGCCATCTAATAAACCGTAGAACACCTAATAAACTCTAGAACACCATCAAATACACTATAGAACACCATCTAATAAACCGTAGAACACCATCTAATAAACCATAGAACACCATCAAATAAACTATAGAACACCATCTAATAAACTACTGAACACCATCTAATAAACTATAGAACACCATCTAATAAACTATAGAACACCATCAAATATACTTTAGAGCACTGTGTATTAAACATTGGTGAATACTGATTTACCAAAAAAATGACACAACATCATAATATATTGACACACCGTATGTTTTAAAATTACTTCCTAGTCCTAAATATCTAAATGTATGTTATGAATCTATTCCCATGTGAAATATTCAACCTTGAAAGCTGTGTGTGAAAAATTATTTTAAATATATTAAATATTTGTCAGTTTGTCATCTGAAATTTTCCAGATTTTCATTTTTATTTAAACCTTTTTTCAGATGACCCATCGTTTTACTGTCAATCTACCACGAAATCAGAAGATGGTCAGTCGCATCAGCCCTGCGACACCTCTCGATCAGCTCTTCAATAAAGTTTGCCAGGAGAAGAACTTGAATCCTGCTAATTACATGTTTCAACACGCAGGAAATCCAAATATGAAACTAGATCTACGAAAGATGACTGTTGGTGATTTGAAGGCTAATGAAGTTAATTTTATTCCTAGTGGTAAGAATTCAAACTTGTAAACTTCTCTCATAATGTAACCGACGGGGTTCCCCCATGTCACTGATGCAGGACGGAAGGCTTGACAAGGACAGCTGTCTAGTCGTTCAGATGGGACAAAAAACCAAGGTCCCGCGTACACATTGGCGTGCATGTAAAAGATCCCTTGACAGTTGGAATTTGATATAAGAGTAGGCCGTAATGCCATTGTCCGGGAAAAATTTCCCTCATAGCACATTGTATGGCGCATGCCCGTCTTCATTAGCCCAGTTCGGAGCAGAACAGTAGGACGTTAAATCCCATTTTATTTCATTTCTTATAATGTAATTTTTATAAAACCAATTGATTAATGTCTGGTATGAGATATTGATTTTAAATGATGCATGTTCATCATACTGGTGAAGAACAGTAGGCCTAACACTGGCTCTCTTTTACTTTGGCCTTAGCTGATTTTAACTAGAATTCCGCAGTATAGCAGCAGAAACGAAAAGGGGTTTAACATCCTACTTTTCTGCACCGACTGGGTTAATGAAGACAGGCATACGTCATGCAGAGTGCACGGACAACGACACTACAGCCTACTCTTATATCAAATTTAAACTATCATGGATTCTTTACATGCACACCAATGTGTACACAGGGCCTTGCTTTTTTTTATATGCCCACATTTTCATGTGGATGTATATTGTCGTCGCCCCTGTCCATCCAGACGTCTGTTCACAATTTGTTTGTGGACACTCTACAGGTCACAATTTTTATCTGATATTGATGAAACTTGCGGTATTTGATTATGGCCCCGTATGTACAGAAAATCACGTTTTTAGTTTAGCTGAAACTTAAAATGTTTATAAGATCTTGGTTCCTTTCATTATTCACGACAATAAGTTACTGGATTATGGCACCTGGATTATGTATGAAAAGTTCCTTTATTTTTACTTGTTCTCTGTCAATTTCTTGCAAAATGGGGGCCTATCTTGCTTGGCAAACACTTGTTTGCCCATCCGAACAACTAACTTTGTCTCTTGCCATACCCTCCATCCTACACTATTGACAAGGGGGGCGCCACGTAGGATATTTCCAATGCAGGGATCGAACACAGGACCTTCTAATAAATGAATCAAGGTCTTACTCACTGAGCCACAGTGGTTCCCCTGCAACGCCCACCATGCTTTTAAATTCTGTTGAATGTCAGCAACATCATGTTTTTTTTTAATGAATTTTCTGTATCGAATCTTTATTTTGTGTTTTCCAGCAATGATAGATAACGCAAAATCGATGCCAGACCTGAGTCGTTCTGAGTCTTCACGTGAACGTGAACATGCACCAACGTACATGCCTGGAGTCAGTGAACCAAAGAAAAAACGAGGTTTCCTTTCGTTCTTGAAAAAAGATAAAAAATTCAAATTAGTAAGTACCCTTCTTTATTTTCAGCTTTTTAATACACCCTCATCTACCATTGTTTTGGTTTATGAAAAAAGGCATATGTTACCATTCTGATGGGAAAAAGTTACCATTCTGATGGGTATATGAACATTACCATGCTGGTTTCAGAAACAGATTTATGCCAGGGATCAAAATTTAACCCTTTATTTGAATTAAGAACATTCCAAGACTTCATTAAATTGTATTATTATTTTTTATTGCAGAGTGAAGCCGATTATAAAACAGAATCAACATCAAAAGCTTCTGCATCAACATCCACACTAAAACCACTAACACCTCCCCCAGAGCGTAAAAACGCAGACAATTCACAGACAGTTCGACCCAAGTCTATGTTCGCGTCATCAAAACCAAGTGAAATATCAATGCTCAAAGAAAACGGATTTAGTGAACCCTTAAAGGAGAGTACAAACACGAACACGAACACACTGCCTAAAGCACCCCATAGGACAGGTAAAAAACGTCATGCACCTCCGCCTCCCCCGACAGAAGTTACCCCATCCTCCTCCTCCTCTCAAGTACCTCCTTCTGTAAGAACAGTGCAAGTGGTCGTAGACGAACAAAGAACAGAAACGCAATCGCAGGACAGAGTGGTGAAAACATCGGACAATAAAAATGGTCCTGAAAATGTGAATCAAAGACTCCATTCTAGGAATAGTTCAGATTCTAGTGGATATCACGAATTAACTCTGAGTGGGGCCGAATCGCCCGAAGCTGGTCGCGTGAAAAGTACGTTTAAGACGAGTATAGATACGACGTCGATAGAAAGTGCCGATAATAATAACGATAGTGGAGTAACAGACCTACAACCATCCCATAATTCCTCATTGGCTAAAAATATGGCTGCTGGTGATAGTCAGACATTGCCGTTAAATCGTGGAATAAGTAAACCTCCGCGTCAACGATCACATTCTCTAGAACGTAAAGATGATAAATCAACTCCTGTTTCCGTCAAACCATCAACGAAGAAGAAACGTGCACCGGCTCCACCACAACCTGGAGGTTAGTATGACGTGAAATATATTTTCTTTATGGTATTTCATACCCGTATTAGGAAAAAAAATAAGTTCTAGCAAATTATTGAAATAAAATTGAACCATGTGTTAGTCCCAAAATGATCTAGTCTGTGTCGAGTGGAAGTTAAACCCCATTTCTCTCTCTCTCCCCAACTTTAAATGTAAGCAACATTCCGAGTGTGTTACCTGTAGCTACTACAGATTGATATCTAGACTGATTGTTGGTTTCAGGTGTAAAACAGATTGATATCTAGACTGATTGTTGGTTTCAGGTGTAAAATATTTCTACCTTAATCCAAGTCTCTTATTGTCATCTCAGGGTTTCTCAATCCTGTGCAGTCCACATTTGATTTTCACTGAAATATTTTTAATCCAAGACAGAAGATTATCTATCGTTGCTATTGGTTTCTTTTGATATTTGTTTATTTGGTGCAATGTCTATTTTCTGTCTTGTCCGCAGGTTTATCTTGTAGATTTTTGTTTTACGTGTAAGTGCAGTCCTCCTGCACTTACTATTAGATGATCTATTTGAGTCAAATTTAGCGAGTAGTAAGTCGTGGAAAATAGATATTGTTCGAAAATGCACGTGATTTTGGACTTTTTTTAATTCCCAATATTTAATGTATTTTTTTAGTAGTGAAGGTGCCACAATTACCAATACATGAAGAGTTATCAGCCCCTGAAGAACCGGTCATAGAATCATCTAGTCCACAACCCGTTGTATCTGTTACACCAGTAGAAAATTTACGAGAACAACATGAAATAGAGTTATCAACATCTATACGTAAGTTGTGGGGCTGTCCTGGGTAGAGAAAAACCTTCAGCATTTTGTAAGCCTGGTCTTCACTTGTCAAGGGTTGGCACCGTCACCAGGAATGTATGCCTAGATCCATCCGTGTATAGAACGGTTTGATCTCACAATCATGTGACAGAGTGGGATTTGATCTTACAATCATGTGACAGAGTGGGGTTTGATCTGACAATCATGTGACAGAGTGGGGTTTGATCTGACAATCATGTGACAGAGTGGGGTTTGATCTGACAATCATGTGACAGAGTGGGGTTTGATCTGACAATCATGTGACAGAGTGGGGTTTGATCTGACAATCATGTGACAGTGGGGTTTGTATATTTTCATTGGTTCCTGTAATATGTTGAATAACAAGATGAACTGAAAGACCTATTTATTTTATTTTTTTTAAGCACCCGTCTTCATTATCCCAGTTAGAGCAGAACAGTAGGACGTTAAAACCCATTTCATTGCATTTCGTTTCATTTCTTACAGATAATGATGATGTCGACCTGGTGACAGCGGGAGAAATAAAGGCTGCAGACATCAGTGTATTCCACGAAGATTCAACCAATCAGCAAATGAGTAGAGAAGAAGAGGATGCACTGATGACAGAGAGGGCATCACTCTGTAGTGAAGATATCGACAATATTTTAATTGTACAACCTAAACCACTGCGACCATGTTCGTTTGTGGCCCCACCCCCACCATTAGAGCCCCCACCAGATATGAGCCCTGAAAAGGAATATGTAGATAAGGGTGTGGTTGTTAATGAAGATAATTCGTCGTTAGCACCAGGAAGTTTGAAAGGATCTCCAGTTAGCAGTAAGTATATATATTTTATATTTACATTGAGAACCTGGTGGGGGATTGGGTGGTTGGGAACCTGGTGGGGGATTGGGTGGTTGAGAGCCTGATGGGGGATTGAGTTGTACTTTAGATAAGATCAACTGATTGAGTCAAGTGATGTGATTTCAATCGAAAGCTTGCAGTTGACAAAGATCAGACTTGTGGGTTTTCTCTGTGCAAGCAAATTATTGTAATAAAATTGTAGTATATGTTAGTCCCAAAATGACTTGATTTCTGTCGAGTGGACATAAAACCCCATTTCTCTCTAAGACCATGCTTCTTTATTTCAATGAAGATAAATCTATGAGTGTATTTTGTAAATATGGCATGTTTATAATAATATGCGTATATGCAGGCATGAGTCTGTTCTGATGAATGTATAAATCAGAGTGGAATATAGTAATTGATATATAGAATAACAATAACTGGTTTATAGACATGCAATGTCTCTTGGCTTGACCAAACATTGATATATAGAATAACAATAACTGGTTTATAGACATGCAATGTCTCTTGGCTTGACCAAACATTAATAAGGATGATAGTACAACTGTTAAATTGTTGCTAGTTTTTAAACTAATCTTCAGACATATTCTTCATTATCCCAGTCAGAGCAGAACAGTAGGACATTAAACCTTGTTTTGCTGTTCAGATATTTTTTGTGGGGGGGGAGGAGGGATTAAAGTTGTCGGTTTTGGACTTTGTGTGAAGAAGTTTTTGTTTATGTCCGATATTTCATCAGCTTATATGTACAGTGACGTGACAATATAGGGGGAAACATGGCACATAGAGAAACTATATTTAAATATTTTTATAATTGACTTGACACTCAATTGTTGCAATTTACCTTCCTTCAAACAGTGCATAGCCGAATGAGCAGTCGGTCGAGTATTGGCTCCGTTAACACGATAGAAGATGTAAGCCTAGATTTTGAACGAACTATAGCACTAGGAGAGGAATATTTACAGGCTGATAATAGAGGTATATTTATCAATGTCATGACACTAGTAGTTTAATTTGGCACTGACATGTCACATGACACCATGTAATCAGTATAGATCCTGCACTCTTCTTTTTCTGCTAATTTCTAATTTATTGATTTTAATTCTCATATTTAGTGGGGATAACAAGTTTTAACAGTTTTAGCTTACTATTAATCTCTGACCTCTTTTTCAAATTTTTTTATCCTTCATTTTATTCAGTAGTCTTATGTAGATTAAAGAATGGCAACAACAGACGCAGTTCTCCTTCCACTAACGATTCGTCATTTTCATTTTTCACAAAAATATCTTGTCACTAGTTCACAAAGCATTCTTAGACTTTAGACTTTAAGAATTTACTCAAAATTGTTTGCCTTATTTTAACTGAAATTTAGCTCTTTATAAAACTTTTGTTGTTTTAATATATCAAATACATCAATAAGAAAGTATGTGCAAAGTTTTGTGCTTCTCGATCAAAGATATTTTTTATAAACAGTGATTTAAAGTTGAAACTTTGTGAACTCGGGGCTTGATTTCTCATGGCTTTATCCATGTTAATATGCGCTCAATCGGATTTAAAAGAGGCCTATCAAATGGCGGGTGGGCTAATATATGGAGATATCTTTATAAATACTGAATATTGTTGTTGGCAACAGATTCCTATTGTGCTAAAATAACACAATGAGACTGTAAATAGATAAGGAGCTGGCTGTTCTTGCTATAATAGTTCAAAATAAGATGTTTCAAAATGAATATATGGAAAATTTCACTCAAATTACTTTATTCTGAGCAAAGTTACGACAGTTTGAAATTTTGATAAGATTGTTTATTATCGTAACAATTGCACTTGTTAATCACTACTCAGCCTCGATTCACCATTTTTAAATCATTAAATGGTGATGATGTTTCAATCCGTTTTAATCTCAGCCATCCGATGCTCTAGAGAGTTGATTATAGGCTTACTGTGTGAATAAATGTCTAAATAATAGTTTAAATAACATTTGAATCCAAAAGAAAAACCTGCAATAGGCAGATTTATCTCTTGCATAATGTATGTTTAAATACTGGCGTCATTTCACTGAAATATTTATTCCTGGACCAAATTCCACTGAAATATTCATTCTTGGACCAAATACAGTCAAAATCTTGATAAAAACTAGAATCAATATGTTTGGGAATTTACATTTATCAAATTCTCTCGCTAATGATTCAGCAATTTTATCAGTAGCTTTTTTCAACTATGGAAATGCTAATAATTAAACTAAGCTATATTTGCATAATAACCATTAAATAACTAATAATGCTTTATTAATTTATAACATATGCATGTATAGGGCCATCGTAACAGCATTATAGGCTCACAGACAAAGCCATGCCTACACAACCAGCTCGTGTGACCCAACGTTAGATTAGCATGGGATCCCTATGCTCCTGTGACACATCGTTAGGTTAGCATGGGTCTCCCTATGCTCGTGTGACCCATCGTTAGATTAGCATGGGATCCCTATGCTCGTGTGACCCATCGTTAGATTAGCATGGGATCCCTATTCTTGTGTGACCCATCGTTGGTTTAACATGGGATTTCTATGCTCGTGTGATCCATCGTTGGTTAAGCATGGGATCCTGATGCTTGTGGGGCCCAGAGTTAGGTTAGCATGAGATCCCTATGCTCGTGTTACCCATCATTAGGTTGACAATGGATCCCTATGCTTGTGGGGCCCAGTGTTAGGTTAGCATGGGATCCCTATACTCGTGTGTCCCATCGTTAGGTTAGTATGGGATCCCTGTGCTAGTGTGACCCAATGTTAGGTTAGCATGAGATCCCTATGCTCATGTGACCCATCGTACCAATGCTTTAAGATGGCCCATGTAATATTTATATGATTTTGTCGAAACTTTATTTCTGTTATATTTTTTTTATCTAAACTGTTCATGCAATATTTTTTGTTTTTTATGTGAACATGTTTTGTTGAGTAGGTTATCGTTATTATATATATTGTGTATGGCACAGCATTTCTTATTCACAAGACACAATATTATATCTTTTGTCACCACTTATTGTACTTGTTAAAACACTTCTTTTTCACTTTTTTTTTTCATTTCGTTCACTGTTGATATATTTATTTAGCAACAGTAAATCCTGTATATCTTACTTTGTATACCTGGACACTGTCAGGGAAGTGCTCCTAATCCCCAAGTGTACCTATCTCTACTACTTGGCATTTTCCTCATTAAGATGATTGTATTCGTTATACAGGACATTTCAAAAGCCCTATTTTTCCGAGAATGTTTGAGATTTTTCTGAGGGAGACCTGCTTGCTCTGCACCCTATATTGGAAAATCTTAACATGCCCACTGTACTATTTACATTTATATGCAAATGTAATTATTATGTCTTAAAATGGAAGAATTTTAAGTTTTTATATGCAAATGTAATTATTATGTCTTAAAATGGAAGAATTTTAAGTTTTTATATTTTATAATTCTGTGGATAGAAATCCAATGATTTACAGGCCTGGAGTTGTGTTCATAAAATATAAAAGCAGCTTCTTCATTGGCTGTCTGTGCTATGATTTTAGAGCACAGCCAATGAAAAAGTTGCTTTCTTTAAATACTGATGTTTGCCAACTTGCGTTGGACATGTCCAGCGTTATGTGGGCGAAACACTAACAGCATCCATGGTTTAACCTATGAAAAGTGTTACCATTTTAAATTTTAAACCAAATATGGCTATTATCAAGTCCCCAGCATATATTATGCCTACAATGAGATAAAACTGAATATAAAAATTAACCAATTTGTGTCTATTTTCAGAGAATGATGACGGGTATAAAACAGAAATGGCTAGATTCGTTCAACAGATGACAAAATTAACAGTGGGTTCCGACCAGGACAGCAATAACCTGTCAGACAGTGCCAGTTTCACACCATCCATACAGGATACGGAAGAATCTGAAACCGGTTCCGTTATTCATCATAGTTCAGAACCTAGTGACGTCATTCCACCTGTCGAACCATCAGATACGGACTCATTGACAGAATCAGAAATCAGTACACAGGAAGATGCAGAGCGACGTGAAAAGGAACGTCAAGCGAGATTAAGTGCTATCTTTAGTAACACTTACGACAGCTGGGAAGAACCTCCCACCCAAGAAGAGGAGGTCACTTCTCCTCGTGACTCCAAATCAATTGGCCATGCAATCAATCAAAAACTTCTAAGTCCATCAGATGATATCATTAAGGAATTGACGTATGATATACCCGAAAACTTAACCATTCAACCTCCACCCGAGTTCCAGAACGAACCCACAGAAACAGAAACGCCGAAAGCAGCACCGCAAGTAGAAGAGGAGGAAGAAGAAGAGTGGTCGGAAGTTATCGAAGAGGTTTATCACCTTGGACCATCGTCAAGCTACACTTTCGGAGGAGCTTATCATAAAATCCCTGACTTTGAAACTAAAAAGGAACCTGACTCGCCAAAATCAAAATCATCAAAATCCTTGTCGTCATTCTCATATTATAAAGAACCGGAATTAAAAACGGTCGAGATCACGGCCACACCTGCTCCTCGAGAAAAAGAAGAATTTGTGTTGACTACAAGTGACTTGGCTAATGTTAACTTTGTGGCGTCGCCCCCGATGAAAAATCGTATTTCAAAATCAAGTAAACGACCTAGTCGTTCTGGTAGTTATATGCAACCTAAGTATGTCGAAGAAAATTATGGAATCAACGAGAGCGTCAAATCACGAATTTCTGATCTTAGTTTTACGCAAAATTCAGAGAATGAGGTAGAAACTGTTTTAGAAGATAAATCAATATCTGTGATGAACATGCCGACTATGAGACAGTCACCACGAGCTGTAAGTCCTGTAAATCATCATATCCATACGTCGTCTACAAGTCTGAATATATCTGGTCCTAGAAAGCTAACACCATCTGGTTGGGTTAATGAACATGTCAGCGAACCGTCAACTAACACAGCTTACAACTATTCATCAACGCCTGTCAGATCTGTTAACCAGGATAATTCGGGTCCTAGAAAGCTAACACCATCTGGTTGGGTTAATGAACATGTCAACGAACCATCAACTAACACAGATTACAAATATTCATCAACGCCTGTCAGAACTGTTAACCAGGATAATTCACCGTCAAAACATCAAATTGCTACTAAAACATACTCCCGACTACTTACGCCATCTGGTTGGCAATCACCGTCGCCCACACCTCAAAATGAACCGGCTGAGATTTCTCCTGTTAACGATTCGATGGACGAAGCGAAGATGGCACAGTACGATCAACTACAACAACAGTTCAAACAATGGCAAGACCAGCTCAAGATGAATCAAAGTCTTCTGGCAAGTCAGCAGATGTCACCAGAAAACCAGGCCATGCAGGCACAGATGCAGATGCAGATCAAGATGCAGCAGAGTATGATGGAACAATTACAACAGAGCATGCTAGCTCTGACTCAAGATTCCCCATCTATAAGTCAAAACAATTCCACGACAGCGTCACCTCCACCCCCTCCACCAGTAACCATGGTGACAACCACACCTAAGGTCAATAAATCAAGTACTCCAAAGAAATATGATAAACGATTTGAACGACAGTTAGATCCACGGGAGGAGCTGATGATCGCCATTAGAAAGTTTGGTGGACAGACTGGGTTTGATCAGGTAAAGTAAAGTTATTATGTTTGTGATTTCTAGAAGATTTCTAAACTTGATCGATGTAAGCTCTAGAGGTCACAATATTAATAGAAGTTTGATGAAACTTGAAATGCATGTTTATAACTCAAAGATCTTGGTTCCTTTCAATATTCGTGCATATCGGATTGTAACTTCCTGAATTATGGCCCCTGATTGTACGAAAAATCACGTTTTTAGCTTGTGGACACTCTAGAGGCCACAATTTTTATCCAATTTAAAAAAAAAATGTGTGAATATATCACAGTTATACACTAAAGAGTTTGAATTTCGTGAAAATCAGAAAAAACTGACGGACATAATGGACGCCTATTGTACGCAAATAGTGTAAAAATATGGTATATCAAGGTTGTGGACCCTCTAGAGGCCACAGTTTTTATCCGATTTGGATGAAACTTTGAATATATGTTTTTATCATTAAGATCTTGGTTCCTTTTGATAATCACACATCCGAACATAACTTCCTGGATTATGGCCCCTGATTGGTTGAAAAATTGCATTTTTAGCTTGTGGATTCTCTAGGAGCCACAATTTTTTTTCCGATTTTGATAAAACATATCTTTATATTCCAAAAATCTCAGTCCCTTTTGATATTTGCTCATTTCAGACCATAACTTTCTGGATTATGGCCCCTGATTGTTCAAAAAATCGTTTTTGTTTTTAGCTTGTTCTCTATCCATCTCTTGCAAAATGTGGGCGTATCCTGCCTGGCAGCCGCTTGTAAATTCCCGTAAGCTATAAGCTTGTTTTTATACTCCTGTAAGCATACAAGCTTGTTTTTATACTCCTGTAAGTATACAAGCTTGTTTTATACTCCTGTAAGTATACAAGCTTGTTTATATACTCCTGTAAGTATACAAGCTTGTTTTTATACTCCTGTAAGTATACAAGCTTGTTTTATACTCCTGTAAGTATACATGCTGGTTTATATACTCCTGTAGGTATACAAGCTTGTTTTTATACTCCTGTAAGTATACATGCTTGTTTTATACTCCTGTAAGTATACAAGCTTGTTTATATACTCCTGTAAGTATACAAGCTTGTTTTTATACTCCTGTAAGTATACAAGCTTGTTTATATACTCCTGTAGGTATACAAGCTTGTTTTTATACTCCTGTAAGTATACAAGCTTGTTTTTATACTCCTGTAAGTATACAAGCTTGTTTTTATACTCCTGTAAGTATACAAGCTTGTTTTTATACTCCTGTAAGTATACAAGCTTGTTTTATACTCCTGTAAGTATACAAGCTTGTTTTTATACTCCTGTAAGTATACAAGCTTGTTTATATACTCCTGTAAGTATACAAGCTTGTTTTATACTCCTGTAAGTATACAAGCTTGTTTATATACTCCTGTAAGTATACAAGCTTGTTTTTATACTCCTGTAAGTATACAAGCTTGTTTTTATACTCCTGTAAGTATACAAGCTTGTTTATATACTCCTGTAAGTATACATGCCTGCTGATTATTCACAACACGGCCACCAGAATGAATCGTACAAAATGTACTCATATATACGAAATAAGTTTCTGTATTTACCCTCTGCTATAAAACTTAAACACAAAGTTTGCAGGATTGAATAGAATTTTTCACTGTGCTATGACCAGTATGGAGTCAGGCAGTGAACAAAGAAAATTTTCAGGTGATACTTTTCTAATTCTTTATTCTTTATTTCTGTATTTCCAGATTCCAAAATGAAGAATTTTCTTTGTCTACTAATATAGAATTTTACTGGTTAATAGTGCACAAAAAAGCCTTTTCAATTATGGTGCTGAAAAACAAGTGTTTTATGGAAGTGTTTTGACAGAGTGTTTTATGTGACGACAGTTTGAAACAATGGCTGGTTATAAGAAGACACCTGTAACTACAACAAGTTTTATTTTTGTGTTGTCACTCACAGGTATTTGTGGAATTGTAAACTTGATTCACAGGTATTTGTGGAATTGTAAACTTGATTCACAGGTATTTGTGGAATTGTGAATTGTAAATCAAAATAGTAACCTCCCTGAAGATCAAATAAATGTGTGATTCAGTTCTGTCGTGGCTATATTCACGATAGCATTAAATGACATTTGGCGTCAACGAAATGCTGTGTAAAATTAACATGAGAAGGAATGATGGCCCGATTCATTATACTGAGAAGGAATGATGACCCAAGTCATTATACTGAGAAGGAATGGTAGATCTAGTCATTATACTGAGACGTAATGACGGTTCAAGTCATTATTCTCAGAAAGAATGGTAGATTTTGTCACACTGAGAAGGAATGATGATCCAAGTCATAATACTCCAAAGGAATGGTAGATCTAGTCATTATACTAAGAACGAATGACGGTTCAAGTCATTATACTCAGAAGGCATGATGGTCAAGTCATATTGAAAAGAATGGCAATTCAAGACATTCCACTGAGAACGAATGATGGTTCAAGTCATTATACTGAGAAGGAATGACGGTCAACTGTGAGGCTCGTACTCTTCTAGGATCTGTCGGAACGTGATGCCGCCTCAAAATCAGAAAGAAGTCGGACACCATTTTGTGTATGAATTAAATGGTGTGATTAGATTTAAATATACAAAATTGTGAATACAGATATTTTCTAAAACTGTATATTTGATGTTTAATTTAAAATACTTATTATGCAATATATTTGATATTTAACTAGTAGTTATTAGTACAATTCTATAGATTAATATATATATATATATATATATCATGTATATAACCTAATAAGGAAGAGATATATATATTGTATATTTGGAATTGATGTATATTAGGTTATAAGGAAGAAGATATATGTAAGGAATATGTATGTGTATTACCTATTAAGGTAGATATTATGAATATATATATATAGTACTGATGATGAATATGTATATTTTGAATTAATGTGTATTACCTAATAAGGAGTTAATATTATGTGAATGAAAAAAGTACCACCTAATATGTATATTTGACACAAGTGTGGTATATTGTATACAATATATTTGTATATTTGATACAAGTGTGGTATAATAGTATACAATATATTCGTATATACAACACTAACCAACTATATTATTATTATATTGTAAATAAGAACAAGTTCTTCGTACTGGTAAAAAAAATACAAAATAAGTTAAAGACAAGAAGACGAGATATTGGAATATATATAATCATATATAATCTTGAAAATGAACAAACGGTAAATAATTCCATATACATTCCCAAGATTAAATTGTAAATAAATTATCACATATATTTATACTAATCAAAATATTTTTAAATGATTAAATATGTTGAAACTAATTAAATGTTGTACATTTCCATCACAGCCAAAAAAAAAAAAAAGAATTCTTCATGTATATTTTGATTTGAAGTTTCAACTGTTTAAATAGTTTTTGGAGATAATTAATATTATACCTGTGTTTGATGAACTAGTGATAGTATGCAGGTAGATCTATATTGATTACATTTAGACAGGTGCTAGTTGTTATACAATGATTAAATCTGTGACCGATCAAACCAGTCCTCTCATGCCAGTCCTCTCAAACCAGTCCTCTTATTCCAGTCCTCTCATTCCAGTCCTCTCAAACCAGTCCTCTCAAACCAGTGAAATTGATGACATCAAATTAGAATATCAAATGTGTAAAAGCACTTAAAAATTTGTTCTATTTTTGGGAAAGAGAATTTTGAATAGAAAGAAATGAAATGAAATTGTGTTTAACATCCTTCTGCTGTGACTGGGCTAATGACTATACAGATCTCAATAACTGTTTATTACTGCACATTGTTTCGACTAGGCTTCTCTAGTCATTATCAAGCAATCATAAAATATGGAATATATTTGTTTTTTTTAACATGTATATTTATCATCGCTTGATAATGACTAGAAATGTCACTTAGTAATAAACAGTAATTTTATTCCTGTCACCTGTGTACTTCCAGGTCAATTACTAAATGCAATTAAAACTATTTGAGCTAATGAATACAGGCATACGCACTACAGTGTGTCATTAGTGGAAATTTTGTCCAGTCTGTTCTTGTATCAAATTCCAACTGCCACGGTTCTTTTAAATGCATGCTAATGTATACACAGGGGCCTCATTTTTTTGTCTCATCCAAAGGACTATATACTGTCCCTTGCCAGGCCCTCTGTCCTGCATCACTGACAAGGGGGAACCATGCCGGAAAATCAACATAAACTTTCTTGGCCAACACCGGGATCGAACATAGACCCTCCAGGTTAGCAACCCAACTTCTTACTCACTGAGCCGCTGTGGCTCCCTTGTTGAGAAAGACCCAGTTCAGACTTTGATACATTAAGATTACTCAGCAGAGGATAGGAAATGTCTGGTTGACTGTGACAAATAGTAAAGTTAGGAGAGTCTGGTTGATTGAGACAGTTTAGAGAGTCTGGTTGACCGTGACAAATGGAATTTAAATCGGTTGTATTCCTTGTCTTCCATTAAAAATCATTTGTTGTTTAAAAAATAAAATTGAATCAGTTTTATTCTATTCATAATTTTTGTATTTGTTGAGAATCATGATAGCAGTAAAACATCACCTGATTATACTTAAATCTTTAACCTTTTTTTTACTAATTTGTAAATAATTATATATTACTTTAAAAAAACAAATTCCAAGTTTTTATTGCTGTAAAAAGTTTATCAAATCAAACTTGAATCCCTACATTTATCATTGTTTTTTTATTTCATATAATAAATAACATGTTTAACAAACCTGTAAATTGTCCTCAAAATGAATTCCACATATTCCTCATTTTGTTTTTTAGTTTTAGGTTTGTTTTTTTTAGTTCTCACCACTCAGCGATAACCTTTTCACCTCGGTGATAACCTTTTCACTTAGGTGGAAACCTTTTCACTTCGGTGGAACCCTTTTCACTTAGGTGGAAACCTTTTCACTTCGGTGGAAACCTTTTCACCTAGGCGATAAAGCACGTGTTACTAACTGGCCTTGTTTTCATGCGTGCAAACATGGTGGTTCGAGAGAAGAGCTTGGTTGATGTAAGCCTGTTTACTGTCAATTATTCATGTCTTTGGTTTTATAAGTATTGTACAACTAACACCTGAGTTCCCACCTAGGTGAAAACGTTTACACCTTGGTGAAAAGGATTCCACCTAGCTGAAAAAATTTTCACCTGGGTGAAAACTAAAAAAAAAAAAACCTAAAACAAAACCTTAAGCTACAAAATATTTAAAAGTGGTATATAGTGACATATCAATTTAAAGATGTAAAATTTAGGAAAAGGAGGAATTTTGTTTTCAATGGTACACAATTTTTGATATTATATATTATGTATGTAATTGACTAAGGATATAATACAATTATTTTTGTCTATGTATAATTAGTACGATATAGAAACACAGATTAGATTTTATTTAAATATTTGAGATTCATCATTAAATATACTCTTCAAATCAGTGATCATTAATTATTTTATTAAATTAAAACTAATCTTAGAATTTACTAACATAGAATAAAATTAAGCAGTAATTTTAATATGATAATGATTATGTAATATCTCATAAATCTGATATATCAGTTAAAATATACTACATTGTATCAACTGGCAAATATTTCTTTGATCTGCTGTATTACACAGTAAAGTTGACACCATTGACTCATCAACAAGGAGAGAGAGAGAAATGGGGTTTAACGTCCACTCGACACAAACTAGGTCATTTCAGGACGAACACATGGCTCAATTTTATTTCAATAATTTGCTTGCACGTAGGGGTCTTTAGCAGTGGGAGAAAACAGGAGGACCCGGAGAAAACCCACGAGGTTGGACAGGCGACCCTACTCCTTGTCAAGTGTTTGGACTACCGTATAAGATTTGATATATTAAAATATATCAAATGTTTGGACTACTGTATAAGATTTGATATATTAAAATATCAAGTTCTTGGACTACCGTATAAGATTTAATATATTAAAATATCCTACATTATAGAACTTGGAAAGATAACTCTGTTCTTTGGGTGTATGGCCCTTGTTGAAAATTACAACTGTGGATTTTGTTGAAGGTGATTATGCCCTTTTAGTAGTTACGGAATATACTCAGAGAAATATACTCAACAAGTTAAACCTAGCTTATGTTGCCCTACGACGCGACAAAACTCACGACGAATCGAAATCGGCGACTTGTCTCCTATGACTGGAGACAGCTAGTTGTCCCTAGTCACAGGCGACATGAGCTCACCTACGACTACCTTGAGTTGGCGCTATGATGAGATAGCCAATATATTCGGTAATTTAGTCACATGTTAACAAACATGGTGGACAAGTGGAATGAGGTCACTTTGAAGGTTATCACATGGTAGTTATGTGATCAGTTGTGGCTGCGATTCTGCAACTGACGCCAGGTGACATGAGCGCGCCTGCGACTATGATCAACTGATTGCTTGTGGTTGCGTCCAGTCATGGATGAATTCAGTCGTAGTGACATCAGTTCTCAGTTTTATTTTGTCATAGGGCGACATAAGCTAGGCTTAAAATGCAGTAATCCAAATATTTTAACTAATATTAATTTGGTATCTGAGTTAAATGTTAGGATTACCCGGTACCCCACCAAATTTATTACAGTTATATCACAGGGGCCTGTTTCACAAAATTTTAACTAACATAAAATCCAAATTTTAGTAATTTGATTGGATAATATTAGATTAATTTTAGTGATTAACCAATCAAAATTGAAGTATCTACTAAAATTTGGATTTTATCTTTAAGATTTCAAGAAACAGGGCTCTGGTTTGTAAAGGCCTATTTTTATATAAGAGAATATGAACTTTACGTAGAAAAATAAGTTCAATTACTACGCATTGTAAAAGATTAAAATTATTTTATTTTGTTGAGATTAAAATAGGTTTGATAAAACTGTTTTGATGAGAACAAAAATTATTTACCAGTAGGCCTACAGCTTTTGTCTTTTCAGAAAACCAGAGTTGTTGGGTACTTTCCCAGCTAAAGTAAATTGGAGAGTGAGGGTGGGGGTGTTATTTCGAAATGTGATATTGCCAGACTAATGGCAAACCAAAGGTTTGAGAAAAATAAGCTTTGGGTCTTATGATGCTCGGAATGCTTAAAATTAGATCTATTACAAATTATTGTGATAGTGAGGTAGTTAATTGAAGTTCTACCAGGTTTTATCCAGGAATATCTAAGAGGTGAGAGGTTGATATTAAAAACAAAATGTCTTTCAAATTCATGCTAAAAATGTCGCATAATTTAAAATTGAGCTGTTTTCTGGCTTTTTGTAGCATTGTGTAGATTTAATTAGAGAGAAAAGATTTTTTATAAGATGTATATAGAAAGTCGTAATTAATATATGTGACCAGTTAGAATTATAAATATATATTATATATCTGTTTTTTAAAATAAAGGGTTATTTGATTCATTCACACATTTTTTAATTATTCCCCGCCTTTCAGGCCTAAAGAAAGACCGGCAATAGGCAGATTTAGCTCTCGCATAATGTATCTTTAATTAAAACCTAGGTTATCGTGCCCCAAAGCATCAACCAATCAGATTGCTTGTCTCTGCTTACCCTAAGCAGAAATTGCTCATCTTCGAATGCCTACACCAAGTTTGAACATTCTACCTCAATTAGAAGGAGAGTTATTTTGTTCCAAAGTCTCGACCAATCAAACTGCTTATCGCTCTGCTTACCCTGAGCAGAAAATGTTCATTATCGCACTTAGTCAAGGTATTGATGTAATGAAACTATACATCAAGTTTCATCACTCTCACATAATTAGAACTAAAGTTATCGTGTCCCAAATCATCAACCAATCAAATTGCTTATCTCTGCTTACCCTAAGCAGAAAATGCTCATCTTTGAACTCCATCAAGGCATTGACATAACAAAATACCTACACCAAGGTTGAACATTCTAGCTCAATTAGAGAGTTATTGTGTCCCAAAAAGTGTGACGGACAGACGATCCCATTTTAATAGTCCTCTGCTTTCTTCAAAAGGTGGGAGACAAAAATCTCTCAAAAGACTAGCCCATTTAGTCCTTTTCTCCGGAAACTTGTGCCAAACTCTGCCACTTTTTGGTTCATGGCAAGTTGGTCCATGATAAACAGGTAGGGGAGAGCGGGGCACAGTGGGCATGATTTCTTTTTTAAGTGAATTGACTAGAAGTGAAATCCTACATTGAATCAAACTATGCACTCAGTTGAAGCCAGTCATATGTTCGATTTAACAGTGCTGTTAAGAAGTTAATAAATTGAAACCATTTTTGTGTAGATCCTTGTAAAACCAAAATTTTTTTTGACCCAATGTGCCCCGTATGTGGGGTACACTGGGTCACACAATGGGACACAGTTGGCCATCAAGTATGTTTCTTTTAAAAAAATGTATAATAAACACACCGAAACTCATAACAACTGTAAAAAGTAAACTTTTAGTTCAAAATATGAATTTGTTTTAAGACTTGAACACAGATATGCTGCTGAAAATTTAAAAAAAAACAGCTTAACATTGAATAAAAAATTCTTTAACTGGAGAAAAAAAATCTTTTATGTGAAAAACTTCTATGACTTGTAAGTCGGTAAAGATTCATAACATAGGACCAACATTTCCTTAAAAACAGCTCAAATATCCAGATTCTGTCTAAAATGGACAGATGAGATTTAGCTAAACTCGAAATGCTTATGCTCAGTGTGCCCCTCTGAAATGTGCCCCACTGTGCCCCGTCATCAACCATGTCAGAAAATCGAAAATGGCAGGAAGACATGTGATAGTATTATGAAACAAAATATTTCTAATGAGAGTCAAATACTATCTCCTTCACCTGGGATTTCAAGTTTGTGGACTCTAACAAAATCTGGAGTAGCCAAGCAGTTTAACCAGTCCGCCAAAAATTCACTTTTGCGTCAGAAAAACAGTTAATGGCCGATAAATATTAATCAGCTTACATGAATTTATTGAATTTAGGACAAATGGGGGCTGTATAGGGGAATTCCCCAGTGATGTCACAATTGAATTTTCCCAGTTAAAAATTACAAAGCCTGGCTTACTGTGCCCCATGGCTTACTGTGCCCCGCTCTCCCCTACATTTACTACTCATGTTTTCAGGGGGGACTTGGTTCCGATTGGAAAATCATATAATTCGACTTTTTATAATCGAAACCGAATTCCCCTCGATGATCGTATGTGTCCGATTTTGTCACAAGAAAATAAAATATTTGGCACGAAGAACGCCCAAACAGCGTTAACTGGTTGGTTTCCTGTCCCTCTGTGGATTAAAGCCAATAAGCTGGATTTGTATCTGAAGAGGGATTGTGGAACAGAGAGAGAAAAAGAGAAATGGGGTTTAACTCCACTCGACACAAACTAACATTTCGGGACTAACATTCGGTGCAATTTTATTTCAATAATTCGCTTGCATGTAGGGGTCTTTAGTAGTGGCAGGAAACTGGTGGACCCGGTGAAAACCCACGAAATTGGACAGACGACCCTACCCTTTGTCACGTACAACAGGGGAATCGAAACCCCACCAGTTGACTCAATGACAGACCGTATGATACAGCGCGCATATGCTAACCATTCGGCCATCCCCCCACCCCCTTTTCTGACTCCATGACAGGATGGATTGTCGGAAATATACGTCTGTTAAGTTTGCTGCAAGAGAGACGCAGTTTACAATGAATGATTTGGTTTACGTGGGATCCAAACGAACAAGTTTTAGGTGGTGTTGAATCCTGTGATTAGTTTCTAATTGAAAATATTTAGAGATATTAATTTGTTTGTGTCTGCACTTAATTTGTTCAATTCTCTAATTGATGATGGCATGAAAATTTATAGGAAATATTTGTTTTACGTTGATATTCAGGTAGATTTGTTTTACGTTGATATTCAGGTAGATTTGTTTTACGTTGATATTCAGGTAGATTTGTTTTACGAGGATTGTAATGTTCGCTATTTGCCCAGATTAACTCATGGAGATTAGATGGAGACAGGCCATTTATAATTTTATAAATGAATTAAGTTTATGTCTCCTGTGTCTCTCTTTTAGCATAATAAATCGGGTTCCTCATATAAAAGTCTATGACTGGTACCACTTACAGCGGGGAGGGGGGATGGGATGGTCTGGTGGTCTAGAGTGTCACGCTTTGACCTCTAGCTGACCGGTCACCTCTGGCTTGTGGTTGTGGTTTTGATCCCTGGTGTGAGCGTATGTGGCTTGGAAATAGGGGGCGCCTTCTCAACCTCATGGGTTTACTCTGGGTACTCCGGTTACTACAATTTGTAACACATCTTTTAAAGTTAGGTGTGAAGCATTGGGGGAAATGAGAGGATGGACCCCATTGATTTTCCCAGTTCTCTGTCCATCTCTAATGCAAAGTGTGTACGTATCATGCATGGCAACCTCTTGTTCTAATTAGAACTGCCTATGTTGAATACTTTTTTTTGTTTCTGTGAAAACAAACTTGACTTATGGATTTTGTTATAGAATTATCATTGGGCAGTGTATGTGATAAACTGTTCCAGATAATTAGATATATATACCACACAGTCATAGATTATGTTCCATTCCATTTCAAATCACATCTTTATCAATTTTGCCGTTTCCATTAGCCCAGTCCGTGCAGAAAAGTAGGATGTTAAACCCCATTGCATTTCATTACATTTATGAATTTTGCTGAGTTTGCTCAGTTATTGGTACAGTTAGCTTGTGACCCATTCAATGCTACATCTATCTGAGGGCCTGTGTTTTCACACTTGGCTGTGTTTTCATGCTACATCTGTCTGAGGGCCTGTGTTTTCATGCTACATCTGTCTGAGGGCCTGTGTTTTCACTTTGTTTCTTGGCAATCTACTTTTATGTTCGGATACTTCTCTTTCCCGAATACTTCATACAAGGCTTTGGAAGCACCTATTTGTGGCAGAAACATGGGTCCGTCGACCAATTTGAGAGAGAGCGATACAGGGATTAACGTCCACTCGACAGAAAGTAGGTTATATCCGGATTACACTACGGTTCAATTTTAAATTGTGTGTAGGAAGAAACCCCCACAAGTTTGGTTGGACGGGCAACCCTACATGTCAAGAACAGCTGGAAATCGAAACCCCTCCACTTGAATCAATGACAGGGGAGAGAGAGAGAAATGGGGTTTAACGTCCACTCGACACAAACTAGGTCATTTTAAGACTAACATATGGTTTAATTTTATTTCAATAATTTGCTTGCACATAGGGGTCTTTAGCAATGGGGGGAAACCGGAGGACAGCACTCAATGAGAGATATTATCTAAATCACACACTTTAGACCATTTGGTCACCCAACCCCCTGCCCCAGATTTAAATGTGCTTTGGTTATTCATAACAATGACCGTATGTTATGTGTTTTTAAAATACAGATGTGACCTCACCCTTTGATGTTGGCGTACCATTATTTCAAATAATCATACGCCAATCGTACATTATTTATACTAGTGATATATTGGACTCGAGTGACATATTTCACTGTAAAAGCATGTGCGGAGTGTCTGTATCTTAAGTCGTTTAATGGTCTTGAGCTGAAGACATTGCGTAATATATTGTAAAAACACCCGGGCCGTAGGCCCTCTTGTTGTTACAATATATTACTTAATGTCTTCAGCTCAAAACCATTAAACAAGACATATTTTGTGCTTGAAATGGGCTTCTGGATTCTAATGCACTTACGTCATAGTGACCATCTTAGTAGTGTCCCCAACCCCCAGCAATATCACATAATAAGATTGGATTAACTGAACTGAACAGTCAACAATAACTCATCAATGGCTTGTATTGACAACTGATGCAATATAAGGAAGAACAAATCTATAATTTATTATTAAGCTTATATTTTATTTATTTCCAATATTTTCTTCCACTAAAGAAATAATGATAAGGCCTGGTAATAAGATATATAAAATGGCTGGCCACACAGCTATTGGTGCTGCTAACTGTACATTATTAACATTAATACACAGAATTATTTAAAAATATCTACACAACTATGTACAATCAGTTTTATATTTCTTTTTACATACAAAATGTCAACAAAATTATTTCAAAAGCCTAAACAATCATTTTAATATCTATATATGTCTTTATAACAGCTATTTACATATGAAATTATTTACTAGAAGGTTTGAAAAATAAAATATAATAGTTTTAATAGAATTAAGCATTACAACAAACAAAACTAAGTAAGAATTGTGTAATTATATCAACCAAACCAATATTCCTGCTAGCTTTATATTAACCAAACCAATATCTCCTGTTAGAATTCCTGCTTGCTTTATATTAACCAAACCAATATTTCCTATTAGAATTCCTGCTTGCTTTATTAACCAAACCAATATCTCCTATTAGAATTCCTGCTAGTTTTATATTAACCAAACCAATATCTTGTAGACTGATGTGT